TCTGTGGCGACAGTACTAGCCATGCGGAACCAAATCTTCTGGCTCACGACTCTCTGTCTACTCCGATGGTAACACAGATAGCAGTGACATTATTTTAGTAGTAGTACTGGTACTTGAAGGATGATGTGGTAAATATTACACTAGCCCCATTCACTAGCTATTACAATTCCTGCTCCCCATTTTAGTCCAGATGGACAGGGATGTCAATGTCAGTTACAGCAACAACAAAATATCGCCAGGTAATGATTTTCAAATATTTCGAAGAGGGAGAGAGCAGTAGTCGGTGGAAAAGGGGAGGGGAGGGGGGTAATGACTTAAATTTAAGAGAACTTAAAGAGCTTTACACTTGATTTTCAAGTTCTCATTACCTAATTTGTTTATATTTTACCAACGCTACCTCCGCTTTTCTATTTTTTACGACTTACTTTGTTATTTACAAGTACAGTTGTAGCTTTACTTCCGTCTCCTATAAAAATACAAACAGCTTTAGCATGAGATAACCAAATAACCACTTTTGTTACCGTGCTAATAGCACCATTTAGACGACCACTAATATAAAGATACAATTATATGGTGCGTGTTCTAAAGTTGGAGAACCAGACTATCTCTATATAAATGTGCAGAGAATGATTGCGACATTAATTATATTAGACAGGTGCGATTTCCATTGTCTTTCTTTTCCAAAAACCTTTGATGACGGAGAGGGTAGTAGGTGGATTTAGTTGTGGAGGGGGGGGGGTGTGGTGGAGATCAAAGACTATTTCTTATCTGAGCAGACAATGATTGTATTAGACAAGTGCGATTTCTATTTTCTTTTATTTCCATTTAGCCAAACTATGCCACAGCAACGCGTGGCCGGGTACAGCTAGTATATTATAAAAGCCACTAATGTAACCACCAGAGACGAAGCAATACACGGCACTACCAGACGTGTTGTGGGACATACAACTTGTGCCAAAAAGCACAAAGGAAAGGTCACATGGTTTGGGCATGTTGGAATGCAGCATTATAAGTTACCAACAAGGCAGCTAAACCTCAAAAAATCTTAAAGGAGAGTAACTGTGTGTGTGTGGGGGTGGGGTTGGGAGGGGGGTGGGGGGGGGGGGGAATTGCAGACATAACATAAAATTTTCATTAACCCGAACTGATAATAGAAAGCTGGTCAGCAATTAAATTAGTGAAGGACCGTGTTCACAATTTGTGTGCGTGTGTGTGTGTGTGTGTGTTGAGTGTGTGTGTGTATATGTATGTGTATGTGTAGACATATAGTGATGGATTGTCCAGGCAGAAACGCTATTTCTATAGGTGATTCGTCAGTTAAGTGATGTTTGTGTGTGTTTGTCGTATTGAATGTGTATGTATGTGCTGATAAAAGCGTTCACTTTTCGTATGTGCTTGGAATATTGTGATGCTGACTGGTTCGACTTGTCGTTTGGTTGTATATCTTGTTATCTTATTTTTATAGCTCAGTACGTGTTATGGTCAAAGCCTGTTGTGTTTACTTTCCGGTGGCATGAAAAAGTTTAACCACTAGGATACTGCTGCTCCAGTAATGCCATAGAACACCACTTAATCCCTTCCCACAACACTTGGCATACACAGTGGAAGACAATGATGATGATGACAAATAAATTGGAGAATTCGTCCAATCTTGCACACATTAGAAATAAAACGTGGGGGTTGGGGGGGGGGGGGGCGGAGTGGTCTCGAGGCATGCGTTCGCCCCGAGTGCTGGAGGTCCCGGGTTTAAGCCCCGGTGAAGACTAGGATTATTTCACGCAAACTTCTAGTAATTTCCCCTGGTCTCTGGATAGTGAGATCGGACGCCTTTGTGTATTGCTACGTACGTTAAAAAAATCCCTTTGCAGTTGTAAATCGAAAATAGTAGCCTAGCGGCGCTGCCTGGTCACAATTTGGAGTTTAAAATCTACCCAAAATATTTCAGGATCCTTCAGGAAACTTCGTGCACTGTGCTGAGAATCTTTAGACTACAGCTTGAATTAGAAGTAGAACGGAGCACTTATGGGATAGACCCCTGTGCCATGATGTTGATTAGTTGAATAAACATAACCTAAACCAGAAATAAAACGTCAGACGCTTCAAAAAATTGTCAACACAAAACACGTGATATGTCAACACATGTAATAAATCCAGTTTGCGATTATAATTACATTGATAATTACATATATATCCACATGTAAGCATCACAGGAATAATATTGTAATAGTGATATCTGTGATACAGAACACTACACCAGTTACCTGTCACTAAGACATACTGGGACAGGTTCGTCCATAGAGCTTCCCAGCCCAAGCTTTCTCCAGGTGGCTAACCGTTCTGCGGAAAGAGACCAAGCCATAGGGGATAAAACCATGTTCAGTGAAGTGGATCCTTCTTGACTTATAAATTGCTACTAATAAGCTGTTAGCAATTCACAGTCGTATGCCATACATTATACGGGTTTCTTTACTTTCCGACAGTGGTAAGAAATTCGCAACGAGAAGAAGACTGCAGACTCAGTGTATGTTGAATAAATTATGTAGCAAGGTTCCTGATAAGATGCAGCCAAAGTGTGCCATTTTCGGTTAGTTCTACGTAAGTCTCCCCAGAGAAAGTAGGTCACGTTTCATTTACAACTTTGTTGGGCTGGTCTACTTTCCTGGAGGTTAAGAATGTACCGCTCTGTTGTTTGCTTTTTAGGTTTCCTTGCATTTACGTTTTTCTTTCGAGAAACAGAATGCATGTGACGTAGGTTGCAGCTCCCTCTAGGGGAGTTGTGTGTTAGACCCAGTTTGTCCATGTCTTTGGAAACCTAAAAGTGCTGGCGTGCTTAAATATACAGCACGCGATAACAACGGCATTGCAGAAAACCCCCGTACCATTGTCTCAAGGATGTGTGGCTCAAGGTCGACAAATCATAAATGAGCTAGTGTGTAGTGCTGTGTAAATTGGGAGACCAACGTTAATTTTACCCCATGATCTAACTGTGCAATGTATTGTGTGTATGTGTGTGTGTGTGTGTGTGTGTGTGTGTGTGTGTGTGTGTGTGTATGTGGTCGCATTATTTAAAAAAATGGGTTAAAATGCAAAGAATATAGCGCCTGTGTTTCTTGTACAAACATATACGAATATTCATCCGTTATTCCGTTTACTGAGATTCCATTTGTACGTGTTCTATTAGGAACATATTTGTGAATTGTTTGAGTAAATTGTCGACACTCAAAAGTGATCATTTACAAAAACTATGATCATGTCAAATGAGGCAGTTAGACATAGTCCTCAAAAGCAGAAGAGTGGACGGGCAAAGGTTATTAAGAGTATTTACCTAAATCAAAGCCGTGTAAACTTCTTCTTTTTCTAAGTCAATGCTATGTGGTTTTGGCTCTATCCACACGTTCTGTTTCCTGTCTATTTCTTAAAGTCCATGCTGTGTGGCGTTGGTAGTCATGTCTAACCACAGACTTTTGTCTCCTGTCTTCTTCTTAAAGTCTATGCAGCGTGGCGTTAGTAAATGATTAGTGAGGACTATCATCACAGCACCCCGGACAGATCCATAGGTACCACGATTTCTTCCTCAATAGCTAGCTCCACAAGAGTAAAGCGACTGATAAGCTTGTCCTGTGTTCATTAACCAGATTACCATTGTGCCCTTGAAGGGGGTGGGGGTGTTGCCATGGTGTAGCGACAAGACGCTCATCTGCGGATCAGAAGGTCGTGGTTTCAGGTCCTGATGGAGACAGATTTTTCAACAAAATCTTGGCTCCGAGGTAGACCCAGCTTCAAACGGGTACCAGGTAAAGTCATGGGAATTAAAGGCGGCCGTCGTGATACTGACATGTACCACCAAGGGCTGACTGGTCTAGTCTATAAAATATAGGTCTAGCCCTATATGCCCAATAGCCCGAGGGCGTGGAAAAGGACCCTTTACTTTACTTTTGCTCTTTGTGAAATGTTCATAACTGGCTACTCCAGGTTGCATTCCTCATGTCCACCAACCTGTACAGGGAAACGGAATCTTGCTTGTTGTCATCATCTTCACTGCGATATGCAATAATAACATAGCGACAAATGTACACCACGTTGTTGATTTTGTCTATGTAAATCGGCTAGAAACATGCACTGTTGGTTAGGCTCTTTAATTACCAACTGGAACTACACAGCACGTTATTATGTTTTTTCCTCTACTGGCTGGACATCACTGTTGATTATTTTCTTCTATATTAACTGGAAATACAAGTCATTGTGTTGTCTTTGTATACCAGATGCTGGAGACACAAAAGCGTTCTTTACTGTGTTCTTGTACACCAGCTGGAGATGCGACCACGTTGTTTACTGTGTTCTGGTACACCAGCTGGAGATGCGACCACGTTGTTTACTGTGTTCTTGTACACCAGCTGGAGATGCGACCACGTTGTTTACTGTGTTCTGGTACACCAGCTGGAGATGCGACCACGTTGTTTACTGTGTTCTTGTTTACCAACTAGAGACACGACCACGTTGTTTACTGTATTCTCATAGACCAGCTAGAGATACGACCACGTTGTTTACTCTGTTCTTGTATACCAGCTAGAAGTACGACAACGTTATTTATTGTGTTATTGTAAAAGAGCTGGAGATACGAACAGGTATTTTACTCTAGTCTTGTATAACAGCTAGAGATATGACCACGTTGTCTACTCTGTTCTTGTATACCAGCTGGAGATACGATCATGTTGTCTGCTCTTTTCTTGTATATCAGCTGGAGATACGACCAAGGTGTTTACTATGTTTTTGTAAACCAGCTAGAGATATGAACATATTGTTTTCTCTGTACATTTAGAAGAGCTAGAAAAATGCCACGTTTTAAAATCTTTCTTGTATACCAGCTGGAGATAGATTACTTTGCTCACTGTGTTTTTGTATAGCAGCTGGAGATACGACTAAGTTTTTTATTATGTTCTTGAATACCAGCTGGAGATACGACCACGTTGTGTACTATGTCATTACATGCACCTTATTCTTCACGCCTCCCATCGATCATACGGGTAGTAGGGTAGCGGTGGTGCCATGTGACCAGGATGAGGGGGCATGTGGTGATTTGGAATATTGTGGTAAAGATTCGAACCAGGACTTCCCGGCCAGTAGCTGGAAGGTGGAGGAAACAAACTTGGTGTGGCTGAGTTGGATAGCGGCGAGTGAGGATTCAAATAGTTCAGTTTCTGATTGTGCGCATGGTGATGATGATGGTGGTGATGGTATTGATAGGGAGACATTAAGTAGTCCTGTTGGTATTTATACGCCGATGGGTCTGTTGAAGATGGCTGCATGGCTTGAGCAAGCCCAGCGAAGTCAAACTTGTAGGCGTAACGTTTTCCGTGGACTTTGGTCATAATGTTCTTGTCGTAGTAATACCTCAAGGCCCGGCTCAGTTTGTCGTAGTTCATGTTTGGTTTCGATTTACGCTCGCCCCATCTCCGAGCCACCTCATCGGGGTCCACCAGCTTGAACTCGCCATTGGTGCCCTCCCACGTGATACAGCCCGCGTTGGCCGAATCGGAGAGCAGCTCCAGAAGGAACTGCCACAGTTGGATTTGGCCGGAACCTGGTGAAAACAGAAAAGATGTAAATTATAGACTCTTTCGGTATGGAGCAACTCACTACGTTCTTTGGTTAGTCCAAGGACAGTCTATTCATCTATCTTCTTTTCGGATAGTTATTACATTTATTTATTCTATCATAAGTAATAATCTGATACCTTCTTTGAAAATAAATATCCCTTCGAGGAGGCTTCAAATTAAAGGTTAAAGTTAAAAGTTGAAGTCGAGAGGATTAACTTCATTGCAGCGTGTGCTATCCCACATGTCTCTCTCCGCAGAAAGGTTAGCCGCCTGCTGTTGGGCCACACAGAGACAGAACTCTGTAGCTGCAGCGATGATCCCCAGAAATCTCCATAAAAAAATTTCGATCCTGAACTGAAATGCCAGCCGTGGAGCAAACCTACGACCTCTAGAGCTCGAGGCAAACGGCTTGACCACTTCGCCACAGAGAAACCCCGAAGGGGGAAAAGGAGGGGGGGGGGGTGCTTCAAATAAAAATTTCAAGTGTATGGAAGAAATGACTAGTAACCAAAGCATTGTCTTCTAACCTGTTAATATTGTAGTGTGTCATGTCAAAAGTTTTAAGCATGTTACGTCAGGGTGCAGACGAATATGGTGAAATCACAGTGATATTTTAAAGATCGGAACAGTGTGTTTTCATGTGAAACCCCATGATATTTGCGTTTTTCACAAACAAATGTCGGTTGCTTCAAAACATAACATTCATATAAATTTTTTTTTAGAGTTGTAGCCATCACTGGGTGGTCCTGCCTGAGTTGAGAGTGTCAGTCTCCATGGCTAGACTCTCGCCCTCCGGTCCAAAGCTTTTGCCTTCACATCTGAATCGGGGAGGAAAAACATAGACCTTGACTCTCAGATCGATTCATCGTAAATAGGAATCAAGTAATGTGTTGGGAAGTAAAAGAGTCATGACAAGGAGTCATGATGACAACATCACCCATATAAACACAAGACTAACACCATATGCCCCATAAACCATAGACGGGAAAAGAGGCTGTTACCTTTTATTTTTTAAACTGACAGTGTTGAAGAAGTATGCTAGTAATTCCCGTTCTGTTATTTACTATATAAAAAAAGGTAAAGTCGGGAGATGTGAACCAGCGTCATTGCACACGGTTATCTTTACTATATGGTGAGAAGTAGCAGCCTATTTTTTGGGACCAATGAACACTCGTTGATGTGATCTACAGGCGTCTGAGGCCTATTCCTTCCACCCCAAATATTGTGCACAGTGTGTAAGAGGACCTATAACCATTTTAAAAAATCTAATTCTTCAGCATTCCGAGCCCTTGAGGTTCATTGCTGCAGATATCACCCGTCTCCATTCATTTCTCTCGTTGGCCTTCTCTTTCCAGTTGGTGACACTAAGTGTTTGTAGGTCTGTATGGACATTATCTCTCCGTCGCTTCTCGACCCGCCTCAAGTTTATAACCATTTAGCTCCCTTGTGTATACACTTTTTATATTTTTTGAAATTTATAAATATATAGAAATGTTCTTTAAACAAGTTTTAATATTTTTTTAAATTTAATTTTACTTCAAATATAGTATTATATATTTTTTGTCATAATAACAATAAAAAATAATCTGTTTAACTGAAAATAGATATAATAACATACTCACAACATTAATAGGTGTATAAACAAATAAATGGGTTAGGGTAGGGGTGGAGGCTCAATGTGCCTGAGCAAACTCCCTTCTCCCCATTTTTGTATGGACGCTATTACTGTTTCCACTTTATGTCTTGCCTCATTTTTCTGTGCATAGACTAATTTCCTGGAAACCTAACTGCAGTGTGTCGACCTGGGAGTCAAGGTTAGTTATTAGCACATAAACATTCTCCTGGTGCAGACACGAAACTTAGACTTTCGGGCCAATAGCAAGCATGTAGCCGCGAGTTATCGCAGCTGCTTTTTCTTCATGTTTGTTACAACATAGTTTTAATAGCATATATTAAATTTTTAGTAGCTGAGTATATACGTGTTAACAACATCATTTGGGTACTACTTGCTATTCTGGTATCTACTGGGAGGGGTAATCAGTTCCAATACAATTGTCATTTTAACCAGAGATTTTGAAAAAAAAAAGGGGGGGGGGGGGGCAGACGTACTGATAGACCAGGCCATACCAGATCAGAATATATCAGATAGCAGACAGGCAGACAGGCAGCTAACTGAGCAATGTTGCTGAGCATAGACAAAGGAGCTGGAAACAAATTCTCACGTATAGGAAAACACAGTAGAAGGTACTGTAGAATTCAAATGTGTATATTCAACTCAAGAACCAGTAACTGAGACTTCAATTAGCGGACTTAATGCAGACTTTAGAGACACTCTGTGAGAATGAATGAGTGGATTATGAATAAGACGTGCAACTATGGACCCGAAATCCACCCCACTGTTACATAGCGCGTCGTGCATGAAGCTACAAGGAATTACAATGTCAGCTTCAAGGGATTCATAGAACGATTGCCATCATCAAGCAACATTGCCTTAGTTAGTAAAGCCGTCTGATGGACTAGTCGGCCCGGTTCATAATATCATCAAGATCGGCAACGCTTTAATTGATCGATTATTTTGCGCCGCAAGTTTGCAGCTTATTCTGTCACTCCCCTGAGCGCAGTTGACTGAAAGGGGGAAGAGGGTCGGGAGCATAAACATTAATAAAGTGCGAAGGGATGTTCACACTCTGCGGGAGGAGAGTGGATGGGTGATTGTGAAAACAGTGCACGTGAGGCACGAAAAGGCAGAGATCAGTAGGGGACTAATCGATGGAACAGTCGAGCCAAAGAAAAACCAGTCTGTAGTATTTTGATATAGCTCTTTGGACGTTGGGTAGAACAAGATAGGGCACGTGACCAGCATGGATTGCATTTCAGAGCATAATTGTGATTTTTGTCAGGAACAAAAACAAGAGGTCGTGATTTACGGTAGGCCGCTCACCAAAACAGGCCACCATATCACTAGCGTGGTTAACAAATACTAGACATAGAAAAGTAGTTAGTGACACTGTTATGGCAACAACAACAAAAAAAGTCTTTTCATAGGAATTAATAGCTTGCCCTTGTCGTGTTGGAGTAAATTCGTAAATGTACCGCAATCAAAATAAAAAAGAGCTAATCAATTCAGTTCCCTTGAGAGAAAAAGAAAAAAATAATGGTACTTTGAAAAAAAATTTGCCGGGGTGGGGGCGGGGAGGGGGGGGGGCTGCTACCTAACAAAGAAGAAGTGCTTACGTATTTATAATAATAGTAATAATAATTTGCTCATTGATTTAAAATTAATGTTAGAATATTACAATTGTTCCAGATTGTAAATTTGAAAAAATTAGGCTTTTAAAAATACGCGACAAAAACGAAACAAATACACGACAAGAAAAGGTATATACGTGCTTAGAAATGGGGCGCTTAACCACTTCATATTGTTTTTTTAGGGGGGGGGGCGGGGGGGGGGGGGAAAGGGTGGGGTGGGGTGGTAGGGGAAATGAGAGTTGCCTCAAAAGGCCTAAGCCCCTACATCTCACTCCATTGATCTAGTTTCTTGTCCCTTTTCCAAGGCTTTATGTGTATAGCGCATATAGTGGTAGACCTATATTTTATAGACCAATGGACACGAGATGGGTGATCTGGTCAGCATCACGCGGGCCGCCTTTACTTACGGGGACTGCACTGGGTACACACTCAAGACTGGGTCGACACAAGAGTATAGGTCATTTTTTTAAGAAAAAGTCGGGCTCCGACAGGAAGCGAACCCACGACCTCCCTATTCGTTCGCGAGCACGGCTACACCACGGCGACTCGCTACAGCAACTATAATTGACTTTAATTTCCATACGAGTTCAGTATAGTTTTCAAGGCATGAATGATTTGTAAAACACACACACACACACACACACACACACACACACAACAACAACAACAACAAACATTTACTACAAGGAATCGTTTGTGTGTGTATCACTTCTAAATAGCAAACTGTGTCATCACATCGATTGCTGAATTATCTGCATCAAATAAATCGTTTTAATGTCATAGGTCACTATCATTCTCTAGGGACAATATAACTGTACCGTTGGTTGTTTTCTTTCTTTAGGAAACAACGTATGCTCTGACTATAAAAAGATATGTGGGATAGACAGTCCTTATTAAATGTTTGTATGTTAGTTGCGCATTCATTACAGGACGTTGCAGAACTAACCCCAGAATTTTTTGGCTGTTGTGGTTTTTCTAGGCAAATTTACATCTAGTAGTTTGCCATTGCTTTTTGGACGGTCGGCTTCTCGATGCCACTGTCGAAACCTACGCAAGGCGCAAGGCCCGCAACTGGGATCTAACCCGGCACCCCGGCATTACGAAGAGAGTTTGCAAAGCCTAAGCAACAGCCGCTGTCACATGTCTAAATACCATAGTTGATATTTTACTCCACCAAGAGGCTGGTTTCCTTCTCTCAAGGCCGTCTCTTCTATAAAGCTTGATGCGTTAGGACTCTATCAAAGTGTGTCTCCGTCTTTCATCCTCTGTCTTCGTAGGAGTCTGTCTGCAGCTGATTCCTCCAACCAAATGGCTGTTGCAATGATGGTATCTTACCGGTCGCATATGCATGTGTCCTTATTACGTAGCTTTGACCTTCCTGTTGATATTTACCCCCTGTTTCTAATTCACCGTACAGGAGAACTCTAGAAAGCGACCGTTCTACATGTGGAAGAGATGTCCAAACCTGTGCTGGCGTTTTTGCTTCTTTTTAAGTAATATTAATGGAAGTAGCAGTCGTAGTAATAGTAGTAGAAATACTAGTAGGAGTAGACCTGTTGTTTGCTTTCTTTTTTGTCTTGCATTTTCGTTTTCATTCCGAGAAAGAGAATGTCTGTGACACAGGTTGCAGCAGTTGTATTAGTGCAAGTGCTGCATGTTTTTGGAGCGTAAAAGCGCCGGCATGCTGAAATGTACAAGGCCTGATTTCAACTATATTCCCGAGCACCCCCGTAACCTTGTGCGAAGCTGACAGGTTCAGGAACTACCAATTAGAAGTGACCTAGTGTAAGCGGGACGCGGGGATATTTGCGTTATGTTTACCCAAAAATATAAATAATTGTAGTAGAAGTGATACAGTAGAAGTGATAGTAGTAGCTTCATCAGCTGCAGTTCTAGTAATTGTAGTTCTACTAGAACAGTAGTAGTAACAGCAGCTGTAATAGTAGTAGCATAAGTAGTAGTAGTAGAAGTGATATTTATAGTACTAATAGTAGCAGCAGCAGTTGTAGTAGTGAAATAACAATAGTCTAAGAAAATACCTTGCGTGGCTCTCCACTGGGCACTGTGTAAACCAACTTCCAGGCCGGTCTTTCCCACGGTAGTAAAAGTTGAACCGTAAGCTGTAATGTACAACAACCATATAGGAGCTTGCTGATCATTTGTAAAATGCATAAGATTGTCAGAAAGCAGATACTGTCGTTAAGGTATGGATTCTTAGACTTTCAGTGTCTCTGTGCGGGTTCCAGGCTCCACTGTGGAGAAAGGGGTCGCCGTGGTCTAGCCGCTAGACGCTCACGTGCTGATCGGCAAGTCGTTGGTTCGCTCCCTGGCGAAGCCGGACTTTTTAAAAAAAATGACCTTGACTCCCCTGCCTTGAGTGGGTACAGAGTACAGTCCCGGGAAGTACAAGCGGCTGCAATGATGCTGACCGCATCACCCATCTTGTACCGATTGGCCTTTGAAAATATAGACAAATATAGACCTAGCCATATATGCCATATACGCCTTAAGGCGTGGAAAAGGGACCTTTTGTCTGTTGGGAAGACAAAAATATACCCACTGATTACATAAATGCATGTTGTGGGAGTCGACCAATTGAAAGCTTCCTTAAAAGTCGGAGTGAATTCGCCTAAGAGGCTAGAAACCAACAGTCTGCGTCCACATGAGGTCAGATAAGTAAAATGGATGTGCACTCAGCACTCAAGTTCAGGAAAGGGGCTAGAGTCCAGAAGTTGACGAACAAGTAGAATTCCCTACAGGAGTTTACGGTCGATGAACGCTAAGAAGGAGGAGGAGGAGGAGGAGGAGGAGAAGAAGAAGAGAAAGAAGAAGAAGAAGAAGAAGAAGAAGAAGAAGAAGAAGAAGAAGAAGAAGAAGAAGAAGAAGAAGAAGAAGAAGAAGAAGAAGAAGAAGAAGAAGAAGAAGAAGAAGAAGAAGAAGAAGAAGAAGAAGAAGAAGAAGAAGAAGAAGAAGAAGAAGAAGAAGAAGAAGAAGAAGAAGAAGAAGAAGAAGAAGAAGAAGAAGAAGAAGAAGAAGAAGATGTAGAAGAATACTAGGAGGAGGAAGAGGAAGAAGAAGAAGAAGAAGAAGAAGAAGAAGAAGAAGAAGAAGAAGAAGAAGAAGAAGAAGAAGAAGAAGAAGAAGAAGAAGAAGAAGAAGAAGAAGAAGAAGAAGAAGAAGAAGAGAAGAAGAAGAAGAAGAAGAAGAAGAAGAAGAAGAAGAAGAAGAAGAAGAAGAAGAAGAAGAAGAAGAAGAAGAAGAGAAGAAGAAGAAGAAGAAGAAGAAGAAGAAGAAGAAGAAGAAGAAGAAGAAGAAGAAGAAGAAGAAGAAGAAGAAGAAGAAGAAGAAGAGGAAGAAGAAAAAGAAGAAAAAATAAGAAGATGATGATAAGGAAGAAGACTTTCAATCTATATAGTACGTTGAGGCCTCTACATTTTTATATTACACCAGCTAATGTAAGAATACGTAACAAGATACACGGCTTTGAAATACATGCACAGTGGAAATAAAATGTCGTTTAGTTTTTATTAAAAGAAATAATAAAGAATGTGTTTGCAATATCACAGAAATTTGATTATTAAAAAGACTGCGATTTATAAATTACAATTTTTTGGTGTATTGATTTTCCAAATGCAAAATCATTGACTCTGTCATAAAAATACATGAATGCTGGTAGCTATAAAAAAAAAATAATTTTGACATTGACTGTATTCAACTGATGAAGTCAGTTATCTGAAATAAATGTGTAAATTCAGAGTAATTTCTTAGTGTATAGTTGCTTTCAGTTTAAATAAAATACATTTTGTTTTTAGGCCGCTGCCGAATGTGAGGTTCTGTCACAAAGTAGCCGTACTTTGCCAATCTGATCTATCCTCTAAACAGTCTTGTTAACACAAATAAATTCTAAAATATTTGTATAACAGAACAAACTGCAAACTATGACGTATAGAATATGTAAAAGTGTCAATGGGCAACCAATTCGTAGTAAGGTTGCAAACGAGAATGTCAACCTCACCGACCCCTTGACTAAGCATTGCTTTTGTAAGGAAAACATCGAGAAAGAAGGACACAGTCGGAGAAATATGAAAGATTTAATGAAATAAATGAACTGCTAATGAGAATTTCAATGATGCTAAGCACAGATCCCTGAGTATGTCCACATCTGATGTGACGAATGATGAAATAAAGAAATGCTAAAATCTGAAAAGATGTTCTGACGGCAAGACGTTCTGCCGCCAAATCGCTAGCATCTGGAATCGAACCCGGCACCCCGGCCTTACGAAGATTAGAACAACGCCTAAGCCACAGACGCCGACCCATATGTAAAGATTGGGTCCAATTCAGATCTAAACTGGTGGATACAATCTTGCCTTTTCTGGAAAATGAATTCAGGCCATAAGCAGCTGGTTAGTTTATTAAACCGTGAACAAAGCAAGCACAACCTGGGGTTTCCGCCACCTTCACTTTTTATTATCTATATTTGTTTAATTATTATTATTTAAGTTCACTTTTCAAAATGCAAAGTTAGAAGAATGTTTTACATTTTTCACACGCACACTTTGTAAAATGCAACTACAAAATACAACCTTAGAGTAGGAGACCCAACGAAAGGACAGAAAAAGACTGGCGAAAATACAACCATACGTTTCCATTATAATTGGTATCAGCGTAGGGAATATAACACAAGAACCAACTGGAAAGTCAGAGAAAAGAGAAATTCAAAAATAGTTGATCATATATGACAGAAAGAAACATTGCGAAAGTAGGTAGGTGCGTTGCTGAACAGAAAAAAAATCATCACCTTTAACCAGCATTCCCAAAGAGAAAGTTTTAGGTTATAATTGTGACTAGTTTATGTGCGCCATATAAAATAGCTTCACATCCCACTTCTGCAATGTTGATGCGATCATTGAAGACGGACCCAAATACTGTCCCGACCGGCGATAAATGTGTCTACCAGCGAGCCAATGGGCGACCCGTCACAGATGATTTACTGCGTAATAAAATATCAAAAGGAAAGGGACAGGAAAAAACAACGTTGTGCGGGTAAGGTGGAAAAGGGGGGGGGGGGGGGAATTTGACTTTCCCAGTCTTCACTCCTCTTTTGTTGTTGTCCTCATTATGTTTTGTGTCGCTAGGAGTTAATAGGTTAATAGATGATCTCTAACTGAGCTAGCTCTTTCTTGGTTCCTCGGTGTGCTCTCAATGTATCAGTGACTCCTTCAATCCATTTTTTTCGAGGCTGTCCCGTACTTGATGGTTTTTCTACTTTTATATTCTATGCTCTCTCATTTCTGCATTGGGAGATGCGTGGTCTCGAGGTATGGTGTCCGCCTCGTGTGCAAAAGGTTCCGGGTTCAATCCCCAGTAAGGACCTGGTTTTTCAAGTGGACTTTGACTTCTAATTATTCCCCCCCCCCCGGTCTCTGGGTACTGAGATCGGAAGCCCGTGCGTATTGTTGCGCTAGTTAAAAAAAATCTCTTGGCAGTTGGCAATCGAAAAGAGTAGCCTGACGGCGTTACCCTGGGAAAATTTAGAGTTAAAAATTTACCCAAGTATTTAAGGATCCTCGCCCGTTCTACAGAGCCTGTGCACTGTGTGTACTCAGACTTGAGTATGAAGAAAGAACGGGCATTTATCGTTACTCCCTGCGTGCCATGATGTAATCTTGTTCAAACCTAACCCAAACCAAATCATTTCTGCATTGCTGGCATCATTGGATTCATTCTCTTTGAATGGCTAAACAGATTCACTATTTCGATGAATTATTTTATGGTTCTTATTCCAATAGTTCTTATAATTTATAGTTTTATACACGGCCTTTGTCAAACGTCTTATTTCGCTGCTGGCCATAGTCGTTTGTTTGTTTTGTCACATCCGTTGATCCAAATTAAACAGCTCGATTGTATTTGTGACGTCTTTTCAGATTGTTTTCTAGCTGTTTTTTTTTTTTTTCTGATTTTGTTTGTGTCCCTCTCTTGAGATTGTGTTTGTGTCCGTCTTTTCCGATTTCGTTTGTGTCAGTTATTTCAGATTGTGTTTGTGTCTGTCTTTTCCGATTTCGTTTGTGTCAGTTATTTCAGATTGTGTTTGTGTCCGTCTCTTCAGACTGTGTTTGTGTCTGTCTTTTCCGATTTCGTTTGTGTCAGTTATTTCAGATTGGGTTTGTGTCCGTCTCTTCAGACTGTGTTTATGTCAGTCTTTTCAGATTGTGTTTATGTAAGTCATTTCAGATTGTTTTTGTGCCGTCTTTTTCAGATTGTGTTTGTGTCCCTCTTTTTAGCTATCCCATGTTAGTTATGTAATCAGTCTGTATTGTTGATACTAGCTTGACTGGAGTTTTTCCCATGTCTGACTTGATTGCAATCAAACTGGGCATGATAGTGCAAGAGTTAAAATGTAACCCAGCAAACTATAGAATACCACTTACGTTTGGGTACTGTTGGTGGTGGACCCGACAAGGCCAGTTTTGGAAATGCAGCATCTGTAATAGAAATATGTCTTTGTATAAGTTTTAAGATAGCAGACACAAAAAACATTAGTTGCTGAGCCGTCTCAATGTATATCCCCGCTTGGCACTAACCTATTGCCCCAAGACCATGCTAATCTGTGCATATACTTGCCATAAATCAAAATATATTTGACGTTTACATTAATGTTATTTAATATATACCTAAAATTATATTTCAGATTGTCTCGTAGCAGTAGTTCGTAGTAATTTTGTACCGTGTCATCTAATCTATGTTTAAATTTTAACACCAGCTTTATGGTAGTACTAGTAACAAAATAATATGTTTAATATTACTAATCATTTGAGAGCAGCCGTGATCTAGCGACTGGAGGCTGGCCTGCGGATCGGGAGGTCGTGGGTTCAGGTCCTGAAGGAGCCGGGTACCAGGTACAGATATGGCAAGTAACGGCATGACGTTGATCACATTACCCACTGAATGCCGACTGGTCTAACCCTATATGCCTGCAGGCGTGGATATTGTCCATTATGTTACTTATTATTACCCATTTACATTTAATTTATGTGCGTCTCAGGGGCGACTGGTTTTTTTCTGTCTAGGGCAAATTAAAATTCACACCTGCACAGCCCGTGGCGACAGCATTATCCAAGCTGTCCTGAATCCTCAGGCTAAAAGTCATCTCCCCCCTGCCTACACCGCAAAAGTGATGTAAAACAGGCAGTAATCTGCAGTTTTTTGGCAGATGCCCGAAGCAATTGTGGTGTCACCCCTTTCTTCAACCCCTGAACCGTCTAAACAGTGTTAGGGGGCCTTGGACAAACCAGTATGCTAGTCTTTCTACGACAACCACTCACAGAAATGTAAATGGTCTCTTGGCAGACTCAGCTTAGAAACTTAGAATAGAACCCCAATGCTCGCGGGGACCCAAGAGCATGTGGTCAGCGAATCCATGTGTTAAGACTGCACAGGTGCCCCTATATATGCAATTCTTATTTGAACAATAATTTTAAAAAATAAACGTTATATAACATTTTTTAAATTTAAACAAACAGTAAGATGGAAACAAATGTATATTTTATATGCTACTACTGTATTGAAATTTGGAGAGAGAAACAAAATCTCCTACTTTCTTGTTTGAATTGCACAGTCTTTTTTTAATCAGCTCCTCAAACCTAATGTTATGAAAATGAGACAAAGAATGCATCCTGCCTTGCTACTTTGTTATTTTTTAAGGACATTGTTTGAAACTATACTTTATAAGAACAAATATAGCTCCAAGGCTACTGACAATTTCGCTGGTGCTCCTTCACTTTACGATGCTCTAAGCACTTGCTTGTGTGCTTCACGGTGATCCGGCTCTGCACCTCGTCCATTGACTGTCGTTTAGTCTATGAAACTATAGGTTTAGCAATATATGTCCAATGTCCCAAAGGAGTGAAAAGCGTCAGTTTCATCTGCAATTTAAGCAGCTTCAACAGTTCTTACTGGAAATACTATTTGCTTAATATGTTTCACGTCCTATTTTCTCACCTTCAGATAACATTTTTCTTCAGTCAATTATAAACAAATAATCGCTGTTTGAGAAACGGCTGGCAAACGTTGGGTACTGATTCCCGGGATCTAGGTTATGATCCTTAGTTCCCCTCTGGGTTTCAGGGTCTTTGTCTTGTGAGGAGGGATTTGGGGGGGGGGGGGGGGTAGTCACACTGCCCCCTAAAAACGCATTTCGTACAAGACGGCTAATTAAGAGTTTATCCTTCGGAGTCGAAGTGCACCTGCACGAAACCAACTCGCTGCATACAAATCAGTCAGATCTGTTTAACAGATGTGCATACAAACTCCCAAGTTCTGAAACAAGGCTAAAGTCGACAAGGGGACGAACAACCGGACGAGTTTTCCTCCGGGGTTTACAGCTAGCGAACGCGAAGAAGAAGAAAGATTAGTAAAGTGATAGATTCTTTTTCTGCTCGGCACAAATATAACCCCGACATTTCGTAGCAACAGCACCAGACATGCTGCCCTAATCCTTAAGGTCAAGACCCCATGTACACAACCGCCTTACTAACTGGTCAATACGAACAGATTCATACAGGCCTCTGCCACAATAAGACACCTGTGATGACTTAAGCTGATAGCATGTTCTGAGAAAAAGCATGTAGACCCATACTGACGCAAACTAGTTACCCTAGAGTATTGTATGAATAGCCCAATGAATTGTAATTGTTAATTAAAGTTGATTTTACATAACATACATAACACGTGACATATTAGTGTCGTGGAGGTTTATTGATGGAAGCACTAGCACATAAAACCTGCCATCTTTCTCTGTCTTCTGCTTAATGAATAAGTGTATAATAGCTTAGTCCTGTCCATTTCTTGATGTTGATATTCGAGGTTCTTCTTTGCCCTCCTCTTCTTCAACTACCCCCCCCCTCCCCCAATGTTCCTTGAAGTACAATCCTTGCACTCGATTCATGTCTCACCACGTACCCAAACCAAGCTAGCTTGCGACGTTGCACCACTGCCAAGGGAGGCTCCTGAAGTCCCTCAAATTTGTATATTTTGTCACTGACATATTTATTAGTTATGTGTTCTATATAACTAATTTGTAAAATGCATTTACATTTAAAGGCCTGAAACCTCCTTTTAACATGTGTGTTTTATAGAAAAAACAAAAGAAAAAGAAACTGCGGTAGAATATAGATAAGTGTTTTACCTTGTGTCTGAGAACTGGGTTGTGATGTCCATCCAGTTTTACTATATCCTCCATCTGTAATATAAAACATGTGCCTGGTTAGTGTAATGGTAACAACAAATGTAATTAGAGTAACAATATTATTAATAGGATTAGTGGTGATAGTTGTGTTAGTAGTAGGAAAAGTAGTTTTAAACATATTATAAGTCCAGCTATGTTAGTCGTATTGATGAAATTGTGATACTGCTGTGTGTGTGGATTACCTACCTCCCCGGGCAGCAGCCAGAAATGCCCTAATATGGGTGGTGTTTCTGCCTTCCCCTTAAAAACGTAGCTAGGTCGGAGCTCGCAGTGTGCTCATTCCCTGCCACCAGATTGCTTGCTGGTTTGGCTGAGCTCTTCATAGTTCTAAGCATGGCCTAAGCATAAGTAGTTGGGGCAACTGGATCATCACCTACTGAGTCCATGTGCCTTCACGATGGTTGCCGGTATTCAGGGTGTTTAGCATACTTGTTTCCACTTCTAAGACTGTTCAGCACACCTCCGGCTCCTTCCCTTCCACTATGTTAGTCATGTGAGCGTTATAAGTCATGTGATAGACACTTATCTAAACCGTAGTATAACCCACTATATAGAATATATGAAACAGTAAAGTGAAAGTGCAAAATAATTCACATGAAGAATACAAATAAAAATATGACACGTTCTAAGAACTTTAACATTTCTAATGTGGCCCTAGGCAAATGTTCGCGAGTGCAAGTATTACACAATATCAGAGGTTTGTTGCTGGAGCTATTAAGTTCGTGCTTTGTGCAACCCTTTCGCTAGTGATCAGTCGCTACGCTGAGAGAGATCACGCTGTGCGGGATAAACCATGAGACAGTGAATTAGATCTTCCATCTATTACAACATCTATAAAACATGTGTTCTTTCTTCGCCCCTGAATCTGTGTAAGTGTAAATTATGTGTGTACGTGTCAAATATAAATACTCCCAAAAGTAATTGTTTAACTACTTCTTCTATTTGTTTAAAAAAAAATCCTTTGAAATTCAAGACCTTAAGCGGGTAGTTGACCGTCTAGCTACTGCCCTTACGCAGCTCCCCGTCTACAGGAATACAACATTGATAGCAAACAGCAAACACGTTATGCTGCAATATATTTTATGCCGTTACACTATGTATGACGGTTCTGGAGGTAAACTGCTCCACGGATGTCAGTGGTCAGACATGTAGACTACGTGACCCCCCCCCCCCCCCCCCAAAAAAAAAAAAAAAACACGATGTTTTCTTAATGTTTGGATACTGGCACAAGCTGTAAACCCCACCCCCACATTGCAGAAAAAATTGAAGACATACAAACTAGATATTTTAGGGTTGTGAAGTTGGGCGGCCAGCAGCAGACAAAAGAGTGCTTAGTGGGTTTATCCTGATATACTTAATGGGTAACGATGGATAACACATGGAAGGGGTAGGCATTACGATGAACCCCAGAGCTGCAGAATATCTACCAGAAATAAGAAAAATAAAAGCCAGGTTTGGTACTAGACATATTAAAGGCACCACTCATTGTTATGCCTCAACTAATGACGCAGGGACTGAGGATAAATATATCTTTTGTGACCAACTGCAGCATCAAGTAAACGAAATTGCTAAACATGACCTAATGATAGTAATGGGCGATTTTAGCGCAACATTTTGAAATAGAATTATGAGTGTTGGGAGTGCAATCCGAAAGAAAGGAGTTGACACAGTGAATGAAAACGGACAATGACTTGCTGAATTCGGTATGCAGTCAAATTTAGTAACTAAAGGTATAAACAACACATATAGAAGCTCTTTGATGGATGTCCGAGCATACAGAAGAGTTGATGAGGGCAGTGATCAGATCTTATGTGTAGAAATATTAAAGCTGAGACTGAAAGCAGCCGAAATCTGCGATACACAACTGAGTGTATCAGTTCGTGTGTTGATGTTGACACCCCTCCATGCTATGGCAAAACGCTGTCAAGAATCTTCTTGCGAAGTCCTCCTCTGTCTCTCTTTCCATAAATATGTCCAGTGTTTACAACATGTTCCATTGTCCCTCTTCTCATAACATGAATTTGAAAAGAAAATTCTGATGTCTGTGATAAATTGTCTTCGAGCACTGGCTTCTTTCAAAGCATCTGGATTGCTCTTCTTAGCTGTCCAGTGTAGTGTGCAGATTCTTCTCTGTAAAACTCGCTTTATCTTTCTTGTTGTAAACCACCAGGACATCACACACAAGATAAACACTTGATGACACAAAGTGCCACAATGCGGATGAGGATCACCCTTTGAGAGGTACCAGAAACCCCTTTCAGCCGTTAGCCTATATTTATTGCCCGGCTATATTCAGGGCCCACTGCAGAAGCCAGGGCGGGGCTTCAAATAACGAAAAATTGCATCTCATATGAGGACAGATGGTACCAACACTCTATAAAACCACATCTCAGAGGTCTCAAGATAACTTTACTATAAATCACAAACCTTTCTCTGTATTTCGTGTGTTTAATATAAATTAAATGTTAAAGTAAACACACACACACACACACACACACACACACACACAAAGTAAAGGACCCTTTTCCACGCCTTTTTGGGCATAAAGCATATAGGGCTAGACTTATTTTATTATAGAAAGAAGGGCACAAGTTGGGTGATGTGGACTTCCCGGGACTGTAACTGGTACCCACTCAAAGCTGGGCCGACCTCGGAGTCAAGGTCATTTTTGACAAAAGTCTCGCTCCGTCAGGAAGCGAATCCAGGACCTTCCGATCTGCACACGGGCGTCTAGTCGCTACGCCACGGCGACTCCCAAATAAGTGTTAACTCCTTCTAAACCGTGACCAATGCATGGTTACATTTTCATTTTCATTATGTCTACGTTGTTTAATTTACTAGTCAAATTGGCTGTGCAGGTTATTGTGTATTTCTTTAGTTATTGCGACAACCGGTAAAAGAAACTTTCGCTGGAGCTATATCCCTGTGAATATTTTCCCTTATTATTTCTCTTAAAAAAGTAATCTTTAAAAAATTATATTTTGCTGTTATCTTCTTTGAAACCACATATCTATATGTGTCTGAGACAATACATTTAGACCCCTTTTTCTACAAGGTCTCTATATAGGGCAGCGGTAAATACAAAGATGAAGTACAAGACGTGATATTAAAGATAGGGTTTTAGTCAGATCCTTATTTCCACAAGGCCTATATATTGGGCAGCAGTGGAGACTAAGATGAAGTAGAAGACGGGAGAATGAGACCATCTTTCAATATCGCTAGCGAAGTCGGGCAATATCATCTAGTTGCATTATATAGTACACTAAAACAGTCAACTAGTACTTTCACACTGTTGGGTTTTCTCATTAAAGTAGGGATCGTACATTGCTTTCATCTGACTGAGCAGAAAAAGAAATGGAGTGGCACTTAAGTAGACCTAGTCCACAAAAACAGAAAAATTTTTGCGAAGAGGATAAAATGACAATGTTACCAATAAATGTAGAATAGATAAAGGACGCTGCAATCAGGGAAGTAATCAATTCATCTGCAAACAATAGGGCACCAGGTGGTGATGTTACTGCCGAAGAAACGCTTAAGACAGCAAATTATGTAACCAAAACTGTGTGAATATTTGTTTAATAAAATATGGACACAGAGAGAAATTCCAAAATCAGTGGAATAATCTTAAAAACTCCAGGTAATCTTGCTGACTATAACAACTCGAGAGGAATTACTTTGTTATCAAAGGGGGTGGGGGCAGAGTGGCCTCGGTGCATGGCATCAGCATCGAGTGCTGGACGTCCAGAAATTTTTTTCTAGTAATTTTCCCTTGTCTTTCGGTAGTAAGATCGGACACCCGTGTGTATTGCTGCGCACGTTAAAAAATCCCTTGGCAGTCACAAATTGGAAAGAGTACCCATGGGCGCTGCTCGGGCAAAGTATTTCAGGATCCTCGCCGGTGCTACGGAGTTCGTGCACTGCTATGAAAAATCTTCGAACTCAGGCTTGTGTTAGAAGTATAACGGAACACTTGTGGGTTATTACCCTTGTGCCATGATGTTGATATTCTTTGAACCTAAACCTACTTTGTTATCATTAAAGTTAAAGGAGTTTTGTAAAATAAGGCTTATCAGAATTAAAGGTGTAGTGGAAAATATCCTGGTAGTAAAGAAACTGGGTGTAAGCAAGTATGTAAATTTTACCCCACCAGGACATGACACAGAGCGATAAACACCCGGTGACACAAAGTGCCACCGTGGGGATGAAGATCACCCGTGGAGAGGTCCCGAAAACCGCCTTCAACCGTTAGATTATGTTGCGGCCACTGGCAACAGCCAGGTGGGGGCTTCAAAATAATGAACAATTGCATCCCACAAGGAGGCCTAGTATTAATTTGAACTGGGTTTAAACCTGACAGTCAAATTTTCACGCGAATATTTATTTTAGAGGAATTTTTTGAATTTATTTTGAATTTCATGAATTTTAAGAAGGCTTTATAAAGCCTACACAGAACAACACTATAGATAATTTTAAAATAAAGGTTTTAAGAGTTTGCAATGCAAACAGATAAAACCGATGATAGTGTATGTTAGACTGACTAGTTTGTAGTTGAACCTGTAGTGAAACAGGGATGCATTTCATTTCCCCTGTAAACAAGTACTTAGTCTAGCTCGCCAGTCTGAACAAGTACTTAGTCTAGCTCGCCAGTCTAAAAAAGCCCTTAGTCTAACTGGCCAATGTAAACAAGTACTTATGTAACTCGCCGGCCTTACCAATAGCAATAGTGCGCCTTCAAATTAGTGCATTGTATTTTTGATAATTTATGGTTAAATGATTATCCTGAGAATATTTTTTTTTATGCACCGGCTCCCATTTTTATCTTCACAATATTTTACACATAAATAATATTTAGGCTACCGAATCGTTTCCGAGCATATGTTTTCTTTGTTATTCGCCTCACTTGTATAGTTTTCGTTATGTTACAAAAGACAGTTTGCAACCGAATAAGCAAAAATGCATTTTAATAACTTGTTATGCACGCAAAAAATGTTTTT